AGAATTTATTTATAAGTCTTTATATTCCTGTAAAGTGAATAAAAAACAAACAGTGGTTAATCTTTTATGTATTTATTCTCTCATAATTAATTGCTTAATGTTTAATATACGTAAAAATTTAAGTCCACGCTGTCGTATCAATATAAAGATGTTTGTTGTATAATTTTGTATTTTTTTAAGGTATCAGTAAGTGATTCTATTTATTTATATTGAACCCTGCATTTGTTCGTTGTGTTCGACACAGCCTATGTTCCATGGCAACTTTTTCTTTTTATTAATTTTTGGAAATAATTGACACCAAAGGCGCCTTTCAATTTTAAAGTTACGCAATAGGCCTTATACCTTATGCGATATGCTTATGCAATATGCTTTACGTCTTACGCTTTATGCTATTACTATGCTCTTTATCTTATGCTTTAGTCCGTAAAAATGCTTGCCGAAACATTGTTTACGTAAAAGTATATTGCTCTATAACATATAACAAAATTGGTCTATAATAAACAATTATATTAATATCACAGAAAGTAAGCTTTGAACAAATGTTATACAATTTTTAACGATACTGATCTCTGGCCCTTGTCATGCTACCTACTAGATAATTAATTTGTTTAAAATAAATTTAGAAAAATAAATAATTTTTGATTTAAACTGATGTGTCTGCCCTATTTATCTAATAAATAGTTAGTTAACCGACTTTATCGTTTTATATATGTAAACTAAATTCAGATTTAAACAATTTAAATTAGTGTATCGCGTTTGAAAATTAATGTAAGGTTAATATCAATGTTAACGGTATTAAATTTTATATTTGCCAATGTATATGTAATAAATAAAGTACAACACATGTATAATTATTGTGTTGTTATTGTTGTAAAATGAAAATATACTCTTCCATAATGACCGTAAATTGTTTACGTAATTAACCGTAACCGTTATCAAAATTCACATAAAACAACATCGACAATCAAGTTATCACAAGGAATATGAACATACAACAAATTGCAATTTTGATTATGTTCGCTTCATACATCAAAAAAACCCACAACATTTCTCAAGTTATTCAACAAAACAAGTAACCTGTTTGCAATACTACAAACCCATAAACAATTTTTCCATCAAATCTAATACCCCATCTTAAATGTTTTCTTCAGCACAATATTAAATTATGGTTTACCTTGTCGAACTACTTTTTATCCCGAAAAACTTGCTTGAATGAGCGCTGTCCAAAGCGAATTAAAAAAACAATATACTGTACAATTATAATAACACCATTCGCTTATCTTCCCAGTATTTTCGTAACTTTTACTTAGCCCATTTGTTTCAGTTAATATATTTGCAAATTGTTTCTCGTAAAATTTTATGCATAGTAGTATGTTTAGTTTTAGTTTTTTATACAAAACACTGGGCCTGACATAATATTTGCAGAGTAGTAACTTATTTGTCAATAAAAAATATATCAAAAAATAACTCCATGGTTTGACTAATAGACATATTCCTGTAAGAGTATAAGGTTATGTAATTGCATTAACCAAACCAAAATACCGTAAACTCTCATGAATAAGGGCCTCCTTCATTATATAAGGGGGCTCTTATTCATGGATGGGTTGGTTGTAGATCATTTTGCATTGTTTTTAAACCACCCATCGTCACGTAACAGTTGCCCGCGTTATTTTTGTTTATTACATAATCATGAGCTGCATATATCATATATGGCGTTATTGGTGGATAATAAAGTGGGTGATGAGGGGGGTAGGGGGGTTAACCGTTTTCAAACCATTACAGATCTTATCACATGATCGCCACTTTTATATAGGGGGGCCCTTATTCATGGTGGGCTCTTATTCATGAGAGTTTACGGTAATATTAATAAATAAATCAATAAAAACTTTTTTGTATAAAAAATTAAGCGTATTATTTACTGATACCCGACAAAATAACTTTAATATTTAATGTGTGTTCAGATAGGCCAAAAATTTTTACTATTAACGTTCGACCAATTTATTCACATGCACTTAAACAGAAAGGTAAAATTATTACCGCATGGATTTGTCTCTTAGTTCCCTCACTTACAAGTTTTTTTTTTCATTTGCTTCTAATTCTGCTTTGTGTTCGGTTGCTTTGCTATAATATATAAGCAATTTATTGAAATGTATTTAAACCGCTTTATTTTTAATACTGGAATAATTTATTAGCATTATTAATTTTGGTGGGTTTTGTGCTTATTTAATTAAAATACATTTGAAATGGTAAAAACGTTAACAATGAATTACGGTGAATAAAAAAGAAAGACAACAAAAACTGCGTTCAAAAGCATTTGAATTAACTGTTTACAATAACTAATTAATATAGTCTCTGCAGAGCATGTTTGTAGTATTGTTAGTATTTACTAATAAAAAAAAAGTGTCTTCGTTAATTACAGTATTCCTTTATTATTAATTTTATAATTGCTAGTCTTATTGTTTAAACGTATTTGAGGCAAATGGAAGTAACCAAAGTCTAAGACGTTATATAAACTGTAAATTTTTTAAATCCAAATATGATCAACATACAGCTAATGTAGGATTTATGTCAATTAAAATGGTTTGTTTTTTCTATAATAAACATTCGAAAAGTAATAATTGATTGTGTGTCTTCGTTTTCTCTATTAGCTGATCCGAATCATCACTTGCCGGTGGTTCATAACTTATCGTATTCAATAATTTGTTTTTCTGTGATTACATTTTACCATGGACAATTTGTGCAACAAGTTGTCATAAATCACTGGTCGGCCTCATTGCTCTACAACACGTGCACACTTTTGCTTCAGAAAAATTTATTGATAGTTAATTAATTGTTTAATGCATAGATATTAGTTTTGTCATATTAAAAGGAGTCCGTATCATTTCACCGAAAATTATTTCACCGACGTAATATTTCACCGACAACCATTTAGCCGAAAATCATTTCATCGACAATCATTTCGCCGACATATTCACCAGCATTATTTCGAAATTATCCTTTTTTGGTAGTCGTTGTCGGCGAAATGATTTTCGGTGAAATGATCGTCGGCGAAATATTACGTCGGTGAAATGATTTTCGGCGTTATGATTGCCTCCCATTAAAAGTATATAAAAAACCAACCATTTATACTAGTTATTTTGACGCCATCACGAAGAAATTGGTCAGATCTGCTGACAATTTTTGGCACCACTATTTACTAGAAAGTCCACTTTTTGAAGCATTAAGCGTAGTGCAACCGAGACAAGACACTTTGTTGTTGGTATCGTCTCATCATTGACAATCTTATTTTCTAAGTACAAAATGAGATGGCTTGGAAGTTTTAGTAATATCATTATTACGCGTCTGCTTTAAAGATTCAGTTGCCATTTATTTTGCTTGTCTGTAAGATTGATGGGAGAAATATGCTGACATGATATAATCTAATATAGCAACACCGATCAGTGGCTTAACCAATGACATAATTATTAAAAACTTCTATAGCTCTTATACAATTACTGCTACTGTACGCAGAGTGTGACCAATGATAACAATACGTTAAAATTTGCGTTTGTCTAATACTTATTTTTGAAACTTATACGGAAGTGACGTTATATTATGGCACATTTAACATTATCATCAATTCAGTTAGCCTTTTTGCTGATTATAGTTTCGTGATAAATTAAGTTGGAAATATAACAGCTGTCACTTGCTAGAAAGTTTAGAAAAGTTGAGAAGGTGCTTATTTTCGAAACTATACGGTAGGACACCATGACTACTTTTTTTTACTGATAATATTTCGTAATACTTAATTAATAAAATTTGTTTACAACAATTACATGCTATAGAAACATGTGGAAAAGAGGTGCCATCTCCGGTTATGTTTCCGTCCTTATAAGATTCATATGCCTATCACACTTATAGCTTATATTACCAATTTGAGGCTAAAAAAGGTGGATATAAACAAAGTATGACAGTGATGTCAACTCACAGTTTTCGGTAAAAATAATCGAATTGTTTGTGGGCTAGGTACTTCTTTTTGGCAGATGCTAAACTGTGGAATTATATACTGTACTTCTACTAATACTACAATTTTTGTTTATAGATTTGATGTAAATTAAATTTTATATTTGGAAATAATTTGCAGTTGTAAATATCAAACATTGTTACAAGTAGTCAAATAGCTAGCATTCAATTAACCCAGCCTTTCTTGCATACATTCTTTTTAATATACTACTCCATATGTAAAAACCGCTGTGTGCTGATTATAATATATAAGAATCAATTTTTCTTTGCCCGAGGTCGTTCTTATAAATAAAATTTGGCATATTTCCAGTATCTATTGATTCTGATGGGTAGGTCAGTAATAACATTGGACATTTGGACAGATTGATGTAATCGTTTTTCCGACACATTTATCGCTTAGCATACCTTTTAGACAATTACGAGATTAATAATTTTATTATAATTCAAACAGTGCCGGAAATGCGGGACTGATATCAATCCTCTTCATAACCGATCTTTATGTCCGAGAACCAATTGTTAATAAATTTACATTAAAAATCCAAATTCTTTGCAAGCACGTTTTAAGCATTGTTTTTCGACAGCATGGTCACTAGTATGTCGACTGTGTAATTATGTTATAAACAAGATTTCTGACAGCTGGAGATAGCCTGTGAATAGCGAAGGATTAACAAAAAGGATGATCATGACCACTTGAGGTTCGTACATGAAACACGAGTCCCTGTTGATCTCTTGTCGTCATGATGCAGTGCTGCTTACGCCACACAAACAAATAACTTCACGTGATTACTAAATCAGTAGCGACTCCCCGCATTCGTTATCTCACTATCTACTAGGCTAAATTTGATGATCTCCGGAGAAAGGTTATCTAACGTCAACAGTCGTTATTGTCACACCATAATAGCAGACAAAAGCAACTGTCATTCAATACAGGTCGCACGTGCACGTCTCTCTGCACTTGCGCATACCGATATCATCTCTTTTTGGACTCGCAACGATCCATGCATCCCAGGCTTATAATTCTCATCCGCCACGGTCAATCCGAAGCTAATGTCGACATAACCATCCACCGCACCGTCCCTGACCACCAAATCAATCTCACAGAGCTCGGTGTCCAGCAAGCGACTCGAGCTGGTCAAAAATTACTTGACCTGCTAAGACCTGATGACAATGTACATTTTTATATTAGTCCGTATTCGAGGGCTAGACAGACTTTTAAGCATATGGCTAAAGCGTTAGATAGAAATCGATGGAGGTGTTATGAAGAGCCGAGGCTAAGAGAACAAGGTTTGAAGAGGAAAGAGGCGGTGGATAGGGTTTTGTTGCTTGAGATGTTTTGCGAGTGATCTTGTCATTTCACTGACAATGTGAACGTCTCTTTCCTGGTTTGTATACAGATTGGGGTAATTTCCAGTTTCCTCCCGAAGAAATGAAGAGAATTAAAAAAGAGCGAGAAAAATATGGTCATTTGTAAGTCGATATTAAATAATGTCTAACATGTTCCCCTGTTACTTTCATTCTGTAATTGATCTTACTGATGCCGTCTCGTCTGCTAGTTTTTATCGTATACCATATGGTGAGAGCGGTGCAGACGTCTATGACAGAATATCTACTTTCCAAGAGACGTAAGTCATTCCATAGTTACTAATACCGGATTAAAATGTCCCATCATCCTCATCTTAATCATATCTCTTTTTCACACTTTTCACCAAATCCATCACCCCAATTTATTGTCAGTCTTCACCGCGCCTTTGCCGAACCCGATTTTCCCTCAGTTCTCGTCATAGTAAGCCATGGTCTCCTTGTTCGCCTGTTCGCGATGCGATGGTATCACTGGTCAGTTGAATATTTCGAATCACTTGAGAACCTACACCCGTGTGAATTTGTCATTATGGAGAAGGCTCAGGATTCGAACAAATATAAAATGCTGACTGAATTTAGACATTGGCGAGAAACAACAGAAACGCATGAGGTAACAAGAACTTCTGAAAGATGTTTCATGGACGGTTGTGAAGCGGCAAGTAAAAATGGTGTCACTGAGGAGCATAAATATAATAAGAATTGTCAAACGGAAGAAGATTTTATGTAGTAATAGTAATAATCCCCAAAGAGAAGTAAATAGAATACCTATAACAGAGTAGTATTCAGTACTTGGATAAAGAAGAGAGAATGCTAAAAAGCAAAGAAGAGTTAAGTTTGAAAGTAAACTCTAACAAAAATCATTATAATATCGATCAAATGCTTTAACTTATTTGAAAAAGAAAAAAGATTTTTGTAGTTCTTTTAATATTGTTATTAAGGATGTTTGTGAATAGCTTGTCTTTCACAATTAATGTCAAACAGTGCAATCGTAATGCTGTCTTCTTGCATATATAGTGTTCTGATATGTCAACGGGTTGAGCTCGGTAGTTACATGGATATGCAAGTCTCTCCCACCAAAAGTTGTCTACGACAAAGCTATCAGGCAGCCGGGCTATTTTGTGTGAATGACATATATCCTCTTACATCACATCGCGAAGCGATAGCGACATGAACTATTTCCCAGTAAAGGCAAAAGATAATCTACACTTTTTTAATCAACGCTTTCAGTTCGTTAAACACCCTTTTAAATTTCTTCTCCCTTAACTCACATCCCCCAGCACTCATTACACCAAATAAACGCAATTCCCCAACGTTTCTAAATCACTCTCGACACACTAACATTTTGCCTCGCTCTTCAACACCCACTTTCCTCCATCAAGCCTCTCAACACGTCCTTCCTCCTCCAGCTTTTGCAAATGTATAATGATACCACGTTCAGCAGCCTTCCACACGTTCTTTGGATAATCCTTGTATATAACCTCAACAATTTCCCTAGCAGTCATCGTTCCTCCAAAGTGAGTCATAACCTTTATGATCTGATTCTCACGTTCAACTCGATGCCGGTAATATTCATCCAACTTGCTAATTGCATCCTGTACAACCGGTCCATGGCCGGGGTATATCTTTGTCGGCTGAAGCGACTTCATCTTCAACAACGAGTCCATGTACGCTTTTAAATCAGTAAATACCGTCGTCCCTTGTCCTAACACGCAATCGCCCGAGAATATCGTCCGTTCCTCTTCCAAGAAGAATGCAATGTGATCTTCGGTATGTCCAGGAGTAGTCACAACGCGTAACGTTGCTCCTTCTGTTTTGATCACTTGCCCATCTTCCAATGGTTGGCACTTGAACTTATCTTCCGCGTGGGGATACTTGTGAATACGCGGAAGTGGGAGATTGTTCGATCCATAGTAGGAGATAATGTCAGAGACGCCGCCGACATGGTCAAGGTGGAAATGAGAGAGAACAATATCGGATATGGTGAGTTGGTGAAGAGATAACGTTGAGGCAAGTAGGGTAAGGTAACTCGGTTTGCCCTCGCCGGTGTCAAGAAGGATGCGAGATTTACCTGTGCCGATCAAGTAAGTGTTGGTTCCTTGTTATTAAAAAGTGAGTAATGATGAGGAAATATAAGTTAAAACCGTGTCAGAACAGGATCAGGTATGCACTTTTTGATATCAATGTCATTGAGACAAATACCTTGAAGAGTAAACGATCCTGGATTAAGCCCGAGAATGCGAGTAACAATGTCCGTAAGCTGTGTTACGGGGGGGAGTTCGGCCCTCATGATGAATTTATGAGGCGTGTACGTTAACTTCTGGTGTTCGTTCTTTTACATTTCAATAGGCAAAAGTAAAGTAACATTCTCCAAGTACATATATTGTGGTCTCGTGATTCGATGTTGATTATAAAGAGTCATGTGCACACCGCATACAGACAATTTTTTTTTGTGAAAACAAAATGTTATAATAATAATTATCTAATTTGCCTAGTTAAAATCCTCGGCTTGAGTGATACATTTATCCAAAAAAGCGCAACAAGACCCTATCATTTACCGGTAATTGGCGACTAATTATTATACAGCTAAACTCCGGATCATTCATCAAATTCACGCTTCAATTTGTAAAAGAAAAGACTTATAACTTTCCCGGTAACCAAAACGTCTAGTAGCAGTATAGAATGATACGAGGTATTGGCCTCGAAATAGAGCAAAAACTCTTGAACAATACGATGCATCGGATTATCAACTCGGTTAAAAACCCCAAACAGCATATTCTCTCTGCACTTGAAAAGTACAAAATTATCATAATGGGAACAACCCACCAAAATCTCACGCATTTCTTAAATACTCGCTCATAGTATATCGATACATGTTAAGATTCGGTGTGGCGTCTCCAGTTGTTAGATACTTTATGTATAAACTCGTAGTAGTTTAATGAATAATTTATTTTAAAGCAGAGACTAAATTAAAATTTTAAGTTTTTTCCCGTATGTATTACACGTAGTTCAGTGTAATTTTATGGAACTATTTTAAGGGTATTAGACAAGTAAGAGTATTATGCAAAAATATGTGTTACTGCAAATATCAGAGACTTGTGAAAGACTAATTGTCTTTACAATTGAACGTTAGCAATTCTTGTTCTTACTCGTCCATGACATAATGTAAATTTGTGTGTATAATACAATTCTATTCTGTCACCATTCCAACGAGAACGAACAGTAACGCTCGATTTCGAGAAGAGGTAATTACAATGCTGATAGCTAGTTATCCTCACGTTTTAAAATTGTAATCGACTATTTACCAAATCTTTGCTTGTAGACATGCTGATCCTATTGGATGCATGGCGTGGCGTAAACTAAAGAACATGGATACTGTTAAAACTGTGAATCGTATTGTTATGTATCGTGTTTAACGATCAAATTATTGAGATGCCTGAATACATTGCAATAAGACTATTTATACGTGCATGCGTATTTTATTGCACTGTTTATGACATTGGTTACTGTTAAAAGAAAATAAATGGACAATTTCAATAACTGACTATACATTAAATCTTTATCTCGTTCGGTTGCTAGATAAAAACTAATCCGAGCTAAAGCGATATAAGCAAGAACACTATTTTTATGCATAGATTTTACTTTATATCTGTACGGTTTATTTGTCCGACAATCATTGCAACTACCCCAAAAAGGATAATGCCTAGTAATTATTTGTCGGGCGGGCACAAGTGACATTCCTTGCCACGGTATATCCCAAAATAGATATCAAAGGATGTGTTGTCGTTCTATATTAGTGAAAATGATTGTATTGTTTGTCTAAATATAACCCGTGATCATCACTATTGACTTGACCGTTCTGCTAACCATATTAATATCGTACAACGGACACACCACAAACATTGTGTTCCCTGTATAAACCATCATACCTATTCACATGTGTCAAGGAGCCCAGGACTTTTGAATACTATTTTGATAAATTAACTTTCATTATCTTAAAAGGCCACCACCGGCAAAACAATTGTCCGTTAATGGATCAATTCCGGGACCCTGATTCGTTTTAATACTGCAACATGGGGATCACAGTACAAACGCTAGGTTCAATACAGTATTGTTCGCAGTACGCGAACAAGTTGTTCTGTTACTACACATAATACTGTATCTAATTGCTTGTTGAGAAAAGTTTTTTTAGCCAATCCACTATATTCCGTAAAGGCGTACAAGATTCACAAGCAGAAAAACTTCATCAAGATGAACGTATTTTAAGTATCTGAATGTTATCATTATATAATAATCCGAGAAAGTTTGTGAACTTAGCTCATACGGCTGTATAACGAAATAATGAGTCAAAAGTAATATCCTTCAACTTACCGCTTGTGTCAACTTGGTGTTACAGATTGCTCACACCAGGACATTCAGTAACCAAATATGGAATCACCATCGGGCTATTTCCCCTTTTTTCTTCAGCATTGCCAAATTTGTATTCATTTATGAACTGGACAGCGACAAAACGCCATGTTAGAAAATTCGTTGTTTCTAATATAAACGTGACCCATTCACTATTGTCAAATTTCCTTTTCGGATTTATACCAAAAAAAAATGTATATAAACCCCTCACTCCTTCGATAGCTTGGGATTATGATGTTAAGCAAGTTAAACAAATTGCCTATAGAACTCAAGGTGGAAATTGCGAGCCACGTGGAAACACTCTGGACTCTTGGCCGTTGTTCACGTGATTGGTACAACATAATAAGTTCACCACACACAAAATGTAAATGGTTACTCAACAAATACGGCTGTGTTCATGCACTGTTCCACGCTGTGAAAATCGGTGATCCGTTGTTTAACAATGAAGTGGCTGAACTCCTATTAAAGTATTCTCATGTCAGTCGATATTTTATCCAGCGTCTCAAACAAGCTTACGGAATGCCCGGTTCGTGGGGTAACAATATTTCCAATAACGTATACGAAAGTATTCTAAATTTCAAGGAGGAATACAGAGGTGACGACCGTAATGACATCCAATCAATCCACCAAGTACTTAATGGAATAGGAAACGAAGACAATATTATAACGATAATAGAAAAGTATGGCTTTATACCTTTTCCGCCGAGTCCCATTTCCAAAACATTTGTCTTCAAACATCCTACTGAATATGAAAATGAATATGAATACGAATTTCCACAAAACGGTTTTGCGACAGTTTCTGAACTGAAAATCGTGGCCAAGGCGATAATCACTTATCCAAATTTGCTTGACGTCTGGAAGAAGATAGGCTATCACGAAATAACCAAGGATTTGGAGAACCCCGTTGTGCAACTTACCTTACTAAATCTTTATTCTACTGGTGTTGCTTCAGTCCAACTCGTTGCCGAAAAATTGTGCGACTTAAAGTTATTTGGATTTCCACTGATCGACGCTTTAATCGGAAATGCTATTCTTTTGTTCGAACACAAATTAATCGATGTCGGAGAAAGTCTCATCGAAGGCTTTGCTACTGCCCGGAAATTATCCAAGACGAATATTCTTGACATATGCTTGACAGAATTGCTCGACCCGGCAAGAGCTCTTGAACAATACGATGCACTGGATTATGTCATCAACTCGGTTAGCGATCCCGAACAGCAAATTCTCTCTGCATTTGAAAAGTACAAAATTCTCAAAGATGAAAACGACCCATCACAATCGCACGCATTTCTTAAATACTCACTTACAGTATATAGATACATGCTAAGATTCGGTGCGACATCTCCAGTTGTTAAATACTTGATGAGAGAAATTTTAATCGTTCATACGCAGCTTGCCGACACAGAGGATGCAGACAAATTGAGAGACGCAGATAATATCCTTGACGAATATTATGCTGCGAATGTACCTTTTGATCGGTCACTATTCCCACTCTTCAAAGAATGCCTACGTACAAAGCCAATCAGCTATTTGTTTGAAGGATATCTGGCACATTTGTTCGGGTTTGAAATTCAAAGTCAGACATTTTTGATATCCAATATCCCAGAAGTAGGTGCGCTTATGTCACCTACGCAGACAGAAGAATTGAAGCAACTTTGGTTAAAAGATATTCAACAATGTTTTAAATCGGAAGAGTTGGTCAATAACGAATTTAGAAAACAAATTATAGAGTTCATCGCTCTTTACAACTTGTCACAAAGTAGTGTCGATTATTATGAGCAGCTTTATTAAGCCTATCAAGTAGATACTAATTAAGTAGTTAAATTTATGAAATGCAAGTTTATGGACAATTATGCAGAAAAATTTTATACAGTCAGCCCTATATAAATTTACGCCCTCGGAAATGAGCTAGAGCGTGCATGTAGGGGGACGCAGCATTTTATTGGTTGCACGTGATTAATAAAACACTCGCCCAATGTAACGTTCAAGTATTCTCACACGTCTTAGCAATTTTTTCGAGTCTCGTTGCTACAGAAATGGACGAACAATTCTAAGCCCTTTGCAGCAGCTTTTGGTTGCTATCTCCTGCGTTAGGGGAGCGTTATTATCGATGACTCAATACTGTTATCGATATTACCATTATTAATATCACCATCATTGATACAATGCGTAATTGTTTATATGTTTCAATAAGTTTCTTTAATAATATTATTAGTGATGAACAAAAATATTCTAGCTTTACTGAAATACTAAATAACATAATCCTTGTACTCCAGGAAAATTTTTTACCGAATTAATAAAGCTTCTTGATAATCATGATTCCTTGTTAAATGTCTTCACCCCTAAATACTCGCAATAGGTACTACTATTGTGATAGGTACACTCATAAAAATGTTAAATTTAGAATAGTCAATCATTTGTAGCGTGCATTTATAGAGGGGTGGGTGTGGGGGCGTGCATTTGATTGTATATATATTTGGTTAATCACTATGATGTAATTGTATGACTCAACCTTGATGCGTGTAGCATAGATGTTGGCTTATCTTGCAGAATCGTATAAATCCTGGGATAGGAAGAGAATAATTTTATTAATGATAATCTTTTGAAATCGTGCAACATAATCTATATTTTGTCTCCTGCATTCGAAAGTGGGGGAGGCATTTTTTCTTTTTTTTTATGCACAAACGAACGGTTGCTTACATAATTGCTACATATAAGAGCGTTGTCAATAATGTTATTAATAGTCATAAAAGGCGTTATTCTTGCAAGCAAGACTTTTTACAAATAAATGTATTAATTCAGACTGAATTATTTCAAACACAAATTACCAATTGTTGTGCTGTAGTCTTGATTATGAGCGACTCTACTAACTCTGCAAGGAAAGTTAATTAAGTCTAAACAAAAAATTAATCTAAAGAATAGTGGGCACATCACCTTCAGCTAACTTGTAATATGATACAGTTTTGTCATCAATGATGATAATAAATATGCCAATACTGTTGACTTTTTTTCGTTATTGATTTTCCGTTTTATTGTTGGCTGAGAATTGTGTGACCGAAGAAACAGTGGATGGATTGACGTATAAGTATACTATAATGTATGACAATCTTTATACATTACTTTTTCGTATATTTAATAATGATGGTGCATATTTACGTTGCTACTTAGTGTTATAAATAGAGAGGTTGGGGTCACCAGTGTTTAAATCTTTGTATCTCATGATGCCGGTGGATGCCCGGGAACAATATTATGCATAATCACATTTATTGTTATGCGTAACATAGGATCTACAGTCGTTTATACCGTTTATATGCTAACAAAAACGTTATAACGATAATGTAGAGTTTGGTCAAGTGACAAATTTGCTGCGACGACGGCGTTTAATGTTACAGAACTTGTACGCTCCACTCACATCCGATATGACTTAAAACTGAATGTTATTACACGGCTTATTGCCATCCGGTTGTCTTTCGGATGTCTTTCGGAAAGAAATAAATAGTGCAAGGTAATAGACTGTTTTAGTAACACAAACTGGTTCGCTTTCTGAAATTAATCAAGATGAATTAAGCAATTTTATATTATTTCAGTATTAGGCAGAAATACCGATCGAAGTTGTTTGCCATGAAGCTTACTTCATATTATGTAATCCTTACTCGGAACCCCAAAAGTGATGTGATAGTCCTTATTAATAGTTGATGATATAAATAGTATTAAATGTTGTTCCAATACAACTCGTGACCACTTGACTAACCATATCAACATTCATCATACTGTGTAACCAATTTCGTTCTCCTAAAACTTGCGCCGATTATTATAATGGGCGACGCCCTTTTCTTTGTCATTCACACGTTAGGAAATTCTGATGATTATATTTAACCAAGTACGACATGACTAACACATCTTATCGTCGCTACAACCCTTTAGAAAGGGAAGGGTAAAACCCGTTTTCTGATCCCGAAATTTGTTGGATGAGATGATTAAAGAAAAAGTTTGTATTATGACGAGAATGATATCTGCAGAAGATGATACTTTTGTTAATGCTATAATAAAAATCCAATAAGCGATAACCTATTTCCAAGCTATATGTATGTCAAAATGATATAAATTATAATTTACAACCACCAAAGTACGATAGATGTATGCCTTATCTAAAGCGAAGCACTCCTGCAAATGCCAATCAACTTACTTAAATTTCAGCCACTCCAGCCTCATTTCAGGATGTCTAGTTTAGTTGTTGCGTAGCTCCATATAGAAAGAGAGTCCCGTCCGCTCTCCCGATGATTGAAGTGATTGGTTCGTCATTTCCCTTTGACAATTTCCATAAATGGTAATAAATTACCCAAAATCGTCCACACGTCGAGCAAACATCACCTGTGTCGCACACATGTAGGATTTACATATTTCGATCTAGTGGTGATTCACCAAGGACAGCCCTAAACTAGTACTCTAACGATGCGTTTGTAATAATGGTGACATGATAATAGATTGACAGCATTCCATGTATAATAAATATGAAACGTTTATGTTATTTATTACAACAATAAATGTTATGGCGTTAATCAAGTCACATGTGCTATACAGCTTGCATTCATGAACTATTTTTAGATCATAAATTCTGGAAAAAAAAAGTTTATATATATCTCCCATATCCCCCCCGTTTGATCATAACGATGCTGAATAAATTGGACGAACTGCCAATTGAACTTAAGATAGAAATTGCGAGCCACCTGGAAACGCTCTACTCTCTTGGTTGTTGCTCACGTGATTGGTATAACATAACAAATTCGCCAAACACAAAATATAGATGGTTGCTTAACAAATATGGTTGCATTCATGCATTGTTTCACGCTGTACGAATCGGTTATCCATTGTTTAATTCTGAAGTAGCAGAAACCTTACTAAAATATTCACATATTAGTCGATACTTTATTCAGCGTCTCAAATTTGGTTATGGAAAGCATGGTTATTGGGGTAATAATATTTCCGACGACGTATACGAAACTATTATCAATTTCGAGGAGAGGTATAGAAACGACGACCGTAATGACATTCTGTTAATTCGCCAAGTATTGGAAGGAATAGGAAACGAAGATTCTATTATAACAATAATCGAAAGCTATGGCTTCATACCTTTTCCGCCGAATCCTATTTCTACAACATATATTTTCGAACGTCCTGCTGCTGCTGAATATGAAGATGCCCTTCCCAAAAACGGCTATACATCAGTTTCTGAATTGATGATAGTGGCTAGGGCGATAATCACTTACCCAAATTTGTTAAACGTCTGGAAAAAGATGGGCTATCACAAAATAACCGATGATTTGGAAAATTCTGTCGTGCAACTCGCTCTGCTAGATCTTTATTCAACCGAAGTTCCACCAGTCCGAACAGTTGCTGAAACATTGAGCAACTTACAATCAATTGGATTTCCATTGACCGACATCGTAATTGGAAATGTTATTCTTCTATTCAAATGGAGGTTAGCTGATGTTGGGGATAGTCTTATTGAAGGCTTTTCTACCGCTCGGGAATTATCCAAGACGGATATACGTGAAATGTGTCTGATTCAAATGCTCAACCCGGCAAGAACTCTTGAACAATATGATGCACTGAATTATATAATTAACTCAGTTAACAATCCCGAACAACAAATTCTCTCTGCATTTGAAAAGTACAAAATTGTTGAAGATGGAAACGACCCATCACGTTCTCACGCATTCCTTAAATACTCACCAATAGTATATCGATACATGCTAAGGTTCGGTGCACAGTCTCCGGTTGTTCAATACTTGATGAAAGAAATTTTAATGATCCACGCACAACTTACTGATACGGAGGATGTGGACAAGTTGAGAGAAGCAGATGCTATACTCGACGAATACTATACT